CATCTACCACCCATCATCCGTCCATTTATTCATATATCTACCACCCATCTATCCATCTATCCATTAACCCACCCATCCACCTATCCATTCACCCACCATCCACCCATTCACCCATCCATCCATCCACCCACCCACTTACTCACCCACCATCAATCATTCAATCCACCCACCCACCCACCCATCTATCCATCTATCCATTAACCCACCCATCCACCTATCCATTCACCCATAATCCATCCATCCATCCATTCACACATCCATCCACCCACCCACCCGCCCACTCACTCACCCACCATCAATCAATCCACCCACCCACCCACCCCATTCACCCATCCATCCATTCATCCACCCATCCTTTCATCAATCTACTCACCTATCCTTTCATCCATCCATTCACCCACCAACCCATCCATCCATTTCTCCAGTGAGTTTAGAACAATGGGGATTAAGGGTAACATCTCTGGAAGGTGTCAGATTGGAGAGGGAATTTACAAAGATGCTCCCTGCTACAGTAGGATGTGCAAACAGCACCTTTCCCTACCTGGTTGCAATCAGCTACAATCCTACTCAACCAAAACCAAACCAAAGTCCCTCACCCATCATGATATCTTTCATCACAGACTGGAGGACCACCTCTTCGTACGTGTTTTCCACCAGGATGAAGCGGGCAAAATCCTCAAAAATCAGCTCCTGGAATCTTGAGAGGTCCTAGCGAGAGAAGGAAAAAAAAACACACCACTGAGAAGTTATCATGGACCACAATGATACACCCTGTAGGATCTGCTCTTAGAAGATAAGTAAGGCCACACTTGGAATACGGCGTCCAGTTTTGGTCGCCATATTAATTACAAACTTGCTGAGAATTGGAAAAAGTGCAAAGAAGAGCAACTAAGATGATTAAAGGCCTGGAGGCTAAAACCTGTGAAGAACAGTTGCAGGAACTGGGTTTGGCTAATTTAGAGAGGAAAAAAAAAGGATTAGGGGTGACATGATAGCAGCCTTCCAGTATTTGAGAGGCTGCCACAAAAAAAGGGTGGGTCAGCTTATTTTCCAAAGCACCAGAAGGCAGGACGAGAAACAATGGGTGGAAACTAATCAAGGAGAGAAGCAACCTGGAATTAAGGAGAAACTTCCTAACAATGAGGACAATTAGCCAGTGGAACAGAAGTTGCCTCCAGAAGTTGTGGGATGCTCCATCACTGGAGGTTTTTTAAGAAGAGACTGGAGAGCCATTTGTCTGAAATGGTATATAGGATTTCCTGCTTGAGCAGAGATCTGGACTAGAAGGTCCCTTTCAGCTCTAATCCGATTCATTTGTTTTACGTGGCAGCCCATCTATTCTCCATGGCAAATTCAGAGAGCAGATCCAGGTTGCCCCCAAGGAGAAACAACTATTTGGAAACAAGCAGGTGTGATCAGGGACTTAAAAACGTTCTTCCCTGAAGCCAATGCGGGCCCACAAAGTCTTTGTTGGAAATAAAAAATAAATGTTCAGCACTGAGATTTTGTTTGAAAGCAGGTCAGCCTGCCATGTAATTTTATTTTAATTAAAAGCATCTCCTCTCTTTAAAGACAAATGAAATGAGAAGCCCAGAAGGGAGATTTTATGGGTAGGTTTTCCAGCAGGTTCCCCAGTTTTAAGGAGCCTTTTGAAATAATAATGGATTAGGTAAAGATAAAGGTTCCCCTTACACATATATGCTAGTCGTTCCTGACTCTAGGGGGCGGTGCTCATCTCCGTTTCAAAGCCAAAGAGCCAGTGCTGTCCGAAGACGTCTCCGTGGTCATGTGGCCGGTACGACTAAACACCGAAAGTGCACGGAACGCTGTTACCATCCCACCAAAGGTGGCTCCTATTTTTCTGCTTGCGTTTTTTACATATTTTCGGACTGCTAGGTTGGCAGAAGCTGGGACAAGTCACGGGAGCTCACTCTGTTATACGCCGCTAGGGATTTGAACCGCCGAACT